CTGCGGGCGTGGGACCATAGTTGCAGGGGACATCAAGCTCAATTGGCATAACATACTATACAAAACATTGTTCCACCTACTACTTTGGCGAGTAGCGACTGGGACCTTAAAAGCTAGGAAGCTGCCATCTAGATGCAACAACGGGTCTCTCCTCATCAAGAAGAAAGAAGAAAACCAAAATTAATGGAAACAATCAGTCCTAGCGACTAGTACACCAGCCAATCTGCAACCTATACAACTATGAGACCAGAAGAACTAGATGGTGCCCAGCTACCACTGCCATCCACTTAGAAGGGATGTAGGAGATCCTGCATAAAGAGGGAGAACAAAATGTGGAACAAAACTCAAAAAATCATTTGGAGGCAAAAAAAAAAAAAAAAAAAAAGAAGGTGGGGACCAGGTTTGCTGGTCCAATAGAGCCTGGTGTAACCACTGAGACTATGGCCCCTAGCTGCCCTTCAGGTCTGGAATTGAACCCACAACTGTGGTTTCCAGCCAAACAAAGTACAGGCATGTGAGTTAAACATTTACCTCAAGTAGACACACGCCCTGGAGAGAACAATCATGGGAGAAGGAAGGGCTGCTTATGCACAGGGAGACAGCTCAGGGTGCAGAAGAGTATGAAGGGATGGACACTGAGAGGAGGTAACTATGGGGAGGAAGTGGGAGGGGAGCTACTGCATTGTAAATTTTGGTCAATGACATGAGACAAAGTATATGTGAACTGCTGTATGAAAAGTGAATTTACTCTGTAAATCTTCACCCAAATCCTAAAAAAAAAAAAAAAAGTTCCCTCATTACACTTTGCCATCTCTGTCCCTGGTCTTAGGCAACCACTGATCTACTTCCTGTCACTACAGATTGTGCTTTTTCTTGAATTTCATATAAATGGAATCATGTCATGTACTGTTGTCTAGCTTCTTTTGTTCATCATTATGCTTTTGAATTACAGACTTGTTTTTGTATTAGCTTATCTTTTATTGCTGACTAATTTTCCATCATATGGATAAGCTACAATTTGCTCATCGGTTCACTTGTTAATAAGAGGTCTTTCCTAGTTTTTGGCTATTATTAATAAAGGAACTATGAATATTGTCAGTCTTTTTAATTGTAGCCTTTCTAGAGTGTATGTAGTCATAATCTCATGCTTTTTTAAAACTTTCACTTGATACTAATAACATTAAGCATCTTTGAATGTGTTCATTGGTCATTTGTATGTTTTCTTTTGTGAAGTTATGTTTTGTAAATGTTTTTGTTTAACATATTTTGGACACAAATCTTTAATGCAAATATTTTCTCCCAGTTGGTGTTGGTTTACCATTTTCTTAATAACATCTTCTCTTTGCCCTTTTGGTAGAATTGTGAACTGGTGCAGTCATCTGGGTAGTACCACAATACCATGGTAAGTAAGTGTGTGCACATTCAACAATTGGGGGATTCTCCCGTATGTATAGATACTAGGGAAACTCTTACCATAGTGTGTAATATTGCTGTTTAACAGATTCACTCAGAACTTAATGGCTTAAAACTACAATTAGAGTTTTATTATTTCATAATTTCTCTGGGCTAGGAATTCAGGGGTGGCCTAGCTGGGTAGTTCCGGCTCAGGGTCTCTCATGAAGGTGCAGACAAGATGTTAGCTGGGGCTGTGGTCATCTGAAGGTTTAACTTGGACTGAAGGTCCACTTCCAAGATGCCTTAGTCACATGGTGGTGCAAGTCACAAGTTGGTGCTGGCAAATGGTCATTCCATAGGGCTGCCTGAAGGTCCCCATAGCATATTTGCTGGTTTTACCCAGAAGTAATTGAAGAGAACAAGGTAGAAGCAGAGATGTCTTTTATGACCTAGTTTTGAAGTCACATACTATCACTTTGCCACAAAAAAATTGGTCATGCAGACTAACCCTGATATAATATGGGAAGGGCTTAAAAAAGGGCACAAACACCAGGGGGTTGCTGGAGGCCATCTTGTAGGCTGGATCCACATATGTATCTCTAAGAAGATATTTATGACAACATTCATTGTACTGCTATTTGTGGTGGCAAGGAGTTGCAGGCCACCAAAGTTTTCATTCCTGTGGAAATTTGTAAGTAAAATGTGGTATATGCCTGTGACAGAATACCTAACAGTAAGGAATGAGATTTACACATTTCTTTTTAACTCAAAAGACAGAAATAGAATAAAAAAAGAATGAGATTTATAGCATAATGCAATTGAATACAAATTTTAAAAACATGTCATATATATATTTTTTTTACACGGTGGATTTTTTAAACATACACATGTAGCTAAATAAATATAAGAAGAACCAGAAAGATTTATCAAAAATTAGTTGTGGCGGGGGGGAGGAAATTAGAGAGATGTGGGAAGAAGGGAAAAATATGAAACAGAAGAAGGGCTTTGAAAGGATGATGTGGTAAATGTGTCCTGAATTGAAGAGAGGAATTACTTCAATTGTGTACTAAAAAAAGAAACCAAATCCACTGTCACTGAGTTGATTTCAACTCATAGCAACCCCTACTGGTTTTCCAAGGTGGTAAATCTTTATGAAAGCAGATTGCCTCATCTGCTTCAGAGGAGTGGCTGGTGGGTTTGAACCACCAGCCTTCTGGTTAGCAGTCAAGTGCCTTAGGCACTGCCCTAAGAGACCTCCTTCAACTGTGTATAGTTGAGGCGTAAAGTTTTTTTTATTCTTGTAAGCAGAGTTGTAATCAGGCCTACGAGATCATAATGAAGCAACATTTCAAGTGCTCAATCAAGTTTTCCTATATTCTCTACACAGTACTTTTACAGGAGTCATATCATCATGGAAAGAAAATTTCAGTTCTCTTCAAATATCTCCCTTATCTACCAGTTGGAATTATATTCTTTTAACAGAACACAAACTTCTTTGTTTTCTCAAATGGCTATATTTCAAAGGCAAATAACCTTGCGAGAAGTCATTACAAAAAATAGTAGATGATTGATATCAGATTTCCTTGTTGAAGATGTGTTTAATGAGAAAAGACAAAGAGAATGGGATTTTTAACTTCCAGTGTGGAGGGGATGGAAAGAGAAGGGCCACAAATGCGTGGATCAAGAACAGATGCTTCACAACCATGATTACAATTAGTTTTTGCAAAACATTTTATTTGCAAGTTGGAACAAGAAAAAGAGATAACCTTGCATTCACAGTAATTTAGTTGAGTTCAAGATACATCTTTAAATAAACTTCACTTGTTTAATTTTCACTGTAACAACTAAATAAATATTAACTTACTCTTTACATATTGTTTCACAGTAATGTTTATCTTTCAGGTTTAATAGTGGATTTTGCTTGATTGGTTATTCTTGGCTGGTCATCATTTGAGTGATAATTTAAATCTAACCTTGAAGGCAGGCCTCCCTTTTTTTTTTTTTAAATAATTTATTGAGCAGTTAGGACTAAGGGGGCAGTTGGGCAATCTACTTCTGTGGTGATACTGCCTCGGAAACCCAAGGAGGGGTCGCCGACTCAGTGGCACATAACAACAACAGGACTAAGGGGGAGAAGTTTCAGGTTAAAGCCTACTTTCTCTTAATGAAAGTATGTTGTGCTTATTTGCATTATGTGGTAGCAGAAGATTAGGATATTTTTTGAAGAGAACAATGACACTGGCTTTATTGAGAATATATCCAACATAGGGCATGTGAGCGTACTAGTCATTTACATAACAAAGGATCCATGTGCATATAGCAATTGTCTCATAGTCCAATTTCTGTCCTTTTGGGATCTTAGGTTCACATCCACTAATTCCTAAACAACTGTCCCTTTTGAGTGACAATAATGGAAGTTTTCCTTTTTTTCAAATATCTTTATTTACTTAAGTATATTAAAAGGATTACTCTGAAAACTAGGTCTGCTTTGTGTGCGTATGTATTTGTATTTAGGTATTCAATTTCTCATTAACAAGACACTAGACAGACTTTGGGAGCTCTGGTGTTGTAGCGCCTAAGGCATCTGACTGCTAACCAGAAGTCTGGTGGTTCAAACCCACCAGCCACTCCTCAGAAAGAAGATTGGGCAATCAACTTCCATAGTGATACCACCTCGGAAACCCAAGGAGGGGTTGCTACGAGTTGGATCTGACTGGACGGCAGTGAGTTTAGAATTAGGCAGACTTTATTATCAAGGCCTAACATATTAACATAAGCATATATTATTCCTAAGGCAAAAAATTAAAACCGCAGAAGAATCCCCACGGAACATCTGGAAGTCCTATGAATACAAAATCCATACATTTTATTTATAGCACCACCTGGTTTCCTGCTCCACATGATATTTTTGATTAGGCACCAGCCCCCCCTTAAGGCATCACTACAGTATTTGGTTAAAGAAATGGACACATTTACATAGAAACATCTGATTTTCATGTAAGTCTCCACAAACTCTAGGGATTTTGGAAAATATTCTGTGGCTCTGAAGTATTTTAAAGTTATAAATATTTTTTTTCAAAGTTTTTCTATTCTCCCTTCACTATTAAAAGCAGTTCTCATTATCTAAGGGCCACTACTTCACTAGGCTGTAAGCTACTTGTGGGCAGGGCCTATGCCTGTCTTGTTTACCAATGGTTTCCCAGAGCCCAACAGAGGGCCCTCACAAAGTTCAAATCGTACTTCTTGAATGCTTGAATCTGTTACCTCATGACTTAGAATAATTTATATGATCAATTTTTCTTCTTGACAACTGGGTCATGTGTCTACCAATAGAGAGAATTCTTATATCACAATAAGACCTTAAAAATGTATCTTAATATTTGCATATTAAAGATGTGAAATAAGAAATCAAAGCAGGTCCAGAGAGGTTAAAAGATTCATGACAGTCACATCCATGACTGAACTCCACCCTCCTCCAACCAGCCCCAGTCCTTTCAATGACAATCTGCTGCTCCTCCTTTAGGATTCTGTAAATGAAAAATTTAAATTAACTGCCTTTTCAAAAAGAAGATATTTTCAAGTTCATTAAGAAAAACTAAAAAAACTAGTTTGTAAAAGTCTTTTATTGTATCCGTGCCACACATAGTAGTGAAAAATAACACTTCTAAAAAAAAAAAAAAAAAAGAATGCTACCTTTTCACAACATTTTATTTTAAATAAAAGTTCAAGTACTCTTACATAGGTACAAAAAAAATTCTGATCTATTTGCCTCCAACAGGCCACCACAACACACAGTAGATAAAACACAGTGGTTACAAATGTCTTTTAAATTTATTTCTGAGGCAAGGCAAATGGGAGGGGGAAATGTTTCTATGAAAAAATACTGTGTGTGTAGGAAATTGTCACAATTTTATTCCACATGGATACAAATGATTATACTTTAATTTAGGCCCTGGTGGCTTGAAATTATATAACAAAATAGAAAAATGGAAAACTAATATCCCCTACACCCTGTTTCAAAGGCAGGCACTACCAAGATTAAGGAGACGCCACAGTGTTGGTAGAGGATAATTACTGTACAAGCTATATAGCTATAATTACCTTCAGACTAAAATAAAATGCTACAATCCTTCTAAGGCATAAACAATAATGTCTGCAAACAATATATACACATAATACATATTTAAAACAAGACTTAATATAAACAATAATGAACAGTATATACATGTAAATTTTTCTTCACTGTCTTGAAATAACAATTTAACTACACAAGTGATGCAGCAACATATATATAAATGTACTTGTAACTCTACAGTAAAGTTTATTTTTGGTGCTTTTATAGCACATCAGTGTAAACAGTTTAACTTGGCTTTGTTTTATATTTTAAAACATTCCTTGTTGTATTTTCAAGATTTAAAGCAATTTTTTCTAGTTCTTCCTTTTCATAGAAAACGAAGATTCTGGATGTGGTTTAATCATAAATAATTCATAAAATTAAATACATTCACTAAAAAATAAGCTACAAAGTAAAAAAATGAAAAATAGATATTTATTGAGAGGGAAAGGAGAACCATTTCCCAAGTTAGAGCTCTGGTGTTGAATATTCAGTGCGATTTGATATATTTAATTGCTATTGCACTAGAACACCCTTTCCTTTGAAAATTCTTTGGGTGTGCTTCCCTGTTCTACCTAAATTAGCTGATAAATCACACAAACCAATAACCAAGGGCCTTGGTTGTTGTAGGAGTGAAGCTTTTAAAAATGGTAACATTCTTCTGAAATTTTTTTTGTGATACTTATTTTAAGGAAAAAGAAGTCATTATGTATGTGCCTTGCACGTTTATGTAAATATAGTTCACATTGCTGGTCTCATTTGTCCTTGTTAAAAAGGAAAAAAAAAAAAAAAGGTTATTATAACTTCAGCTCACTTTGAAAGTATCTGTCCATTTTTTTTCAAAATACTTCCTCATACTGTGGCCAGCTCTGCCTATATCAGAATCATCTTCATTAAATGTTTCACAGTTGTCAAAAACAAGCCTGACGTCTAGAGCAAAGGTTTCAAGGTTTGGATACCTGAAAGAAAACACATGATTAGAGAGGTGGCGTAGTGCCTAAGGCATTTGACTGCTAACCAGAAGGCTGGTCGTTCAAACCCACCAGGCACTCCTCAGAGGGAAGACTGGGCAATCTACTTCTGTAGTGATACCTCCTCAGAAACCTAAGAAGGGTCTGATCCGAGGATCAGACTTCTGATCCGAGGATCAGACTTGACTGACGGCAGTGAGTATGGATTGGTTTTTGGTTGTGGCTTTGTTTTGTAAATAAAAAAGAAAAGGTAATAAAAGGTAAGAGAAGTAAAACTGAAAGGAAAAAAATCTGCATTTAAACTGTATCTAAAATACATGATTGTCTTTTATAAACAATACATTTTTAAAAATTCCATGTCTGTCATCATATAAACTTTAAAGAATGGTTAAATGGGAAAAACTAATATCTCTGAAGATCAAGATACATTTCAACTAACGGACATTTCCTCATATCCCATTTCCTATATGGTCAGTGTCAAAATTCTATTACAGGACTTATCCCACTCAACTAGTTTATTAACTCCTCTAAGTACATCACTTGTAGTATCAGCTTAGATATCTTGATATATTATTAGCATTTGAAAATGTTCAGTTGAAGAAGAAATAATGTAAATGCTTCCTGTGGACCATAAACAATACACTTAACCCTGTCACTTTTACAGACATCCACAGATACAACACATTCTGTTAAACCTCCTTCATTTCCCATCGTTCTGCTCTCTCCAGACACGCTATTTTGCTCAAGCAGTGGGGTATGATCATCCAAAATAGGCAAAAAAAAAAAAAAAAAAAAAAAAGCGTGTGGGAGGTTCGAGTCCACCAGAGGTGGCTCAGAAGAGAGGCCTGGAAATCAGCCATTGAAAACCCTGCAGAACACAGGTGTACTCTGACACAAGAAGGTCAGCTGTGAGTTAGAATCAACTCCATGGCAACTGGAACGGAATCCCCTTACCAGAGAGAACACTGTGAGAAATATGATCTCTGGTAGGGCCATGAAGCATGTGGCTTTAGTGCTTTTCTGGTGAGAGGAACTCCATTCTCTTCTGCTGTGTAAGAACACAGAGAACAGAAGGGTGAATGAATCTGCCTGAGTTTATTGGCTAGAGGAGAGTGCCATTTAAAGTTAACTCTAGCCAATTCAATACATTTTGAAAGAGGGCCTTTAGAAAATTCATATTTTAAATTAGGTCTAATTTATGGTAAGTTAGATATTAAAATAATTCACCCATTAGCAGTACCTGTGAGGCACTGAAGTTCTAAGACTTTGTAAAAGTGGAATTCTATTTCTTTGATGACATACTTTTACAGTCTTTTACTTTATTTCTATGTGTAACAATAAAAAAAAAATAAAAGTTGTCTATCTGTAACAAGCTCATGAAGAGTTGAGTTAGCCCGTGTACCACCTCACCTATTTTCCTGTTCTGGGAATGATTGTTTTTTTTATTGAACTGAAATTCATGTAACATAAAATTAACCATTTCAAAGTGAACAATTCAGTGGCACTTAGCACATTCACAATGTTGTGCAACTACCACCTTTATCTAGTTCAAAAACTTTTTCATCACCCTCAAAGGAAATTCTGTATCCATTAAGCAGTTATTTTCCACTCCCCCGCCGCCCCCGAAACACCCAATCTGCTTTCTGTCTCTATGGATTTACCTATTCTGGGTTTTTCATATTAATGAAATCATATACTACATGTGGAAAATATTTTTTATAAAATATTTTAAAGTTACTCTGAGGACTATTTTTCTCTTCAGACTGTTCTTTGCTACAAGGTTAATGGTTGATGCTAGGGAGACTGGACTATAGGAGAGAATTCTAGGTCAGGTTCTAGGGGGCGGTAAGTGCAATACTCACATTCCTGCCCTTCCTTTAGGGAGATGGGCAGCTGATGGGAGTCCAGAAAGTCACTAAAGCAGGTACTTCCTTCCCTCAGTTCTCTCAATTTCTAGTTTCCAAACCTGAAATACTGTTTATGAGTTTTGGTTCTAACTCCTTATTTTGGGTTTAATTAAACAACTAGAAGTTAGAGAAGAGCCTGAACCCACTTGCCTTACACACAAAATAGGAATACTACACAATGGCTTTTTCTCTGCCTGCCCTCTACCATACGCTCCCCCTTGACGATTCCCCAGGACTCGTTCTCAGCAACGAACTCCAATTTTATACTCATTTGGTAATTCTTTGTTAATTCCTAAGACTTCACTCTGAAGAGAGTTATGTCTAGGTTCATCTTCTATCCAGGAATTGGAGGATTATGGATGTTAAAAGTCAGCATTAGTTAAGCACTGGTACAATCTTCCTGCATAAGTCAGTCTTTGTCCTGACTATGCTGATTATATGTAGTCAACTGTGTTGTCCCCTGAAACATCTAAGTAGCCTGAAAGACAGAAAAAGCAGCAGAACTTGGCCATATCTAGACAGAAGCTTTTGCTGTTTGGTTCATACTAGAACCAACAGTTTAATAGTTTTCAATGTTTTCTGAATTTGGGCATTCCCCTACTGTAATATTTTGAAAATAAAATAAAGCAGACATAATTCCTGGAAAGGCTGATATTTCAGACTTAATAAATTAGTTATTTGATAAACATGAGAGGGATACTGATTACTGTGTGCAATGTTTTACTGAACTCTTCTAAGTTTAATATAAATTACAAAGTACAGTGATTTTTACCAAAAGGAAATCCAGAAACAACTAAATAATATACTGAATAATAATACCAATGCAATACCAATGTAATTTAAAAATGTTGTTGTTGTTGTTATTTGCCATCGAGTCGGCCCCGACTCATAGCGACCCCTTCTTGGGTTTCCGAGGCAGTATCACTACGGAAGTAGGAATGCCCAACCTTCCTTCCGAAGAGTGGCTGGTGGGTTTGAACCGCCAGCCTTCTGGTTAGCAGTCAAGTGCCTTAGGCACTATGCTACCAGAGCTCCAATTTAAAAATACATTATATAATTATTCTTTTGATGTAAAGTCCTTTTTCCATATTATTTGAGACTGCTTGAAGTGATGAGCTAGAAGCTCTGGTGGTATAATGCTAAGGCATTTGACTGCTAACCAGAATGCTGGTGGTTCAAATCCACCAGCCACTCCTTGGAAGGAAGACTAGGCAATCTACTTCCGTAGTGATACTGCCTTGGAAACCCAAGGAGGAGTTCTTATGAATGCAGTGAGTTTGGATTTTTGGTTTTGGAATTGACGGGCTTAGGTTACAACAGGCTTAACTGCTATATAAAAATAAAGGAGAGGTGGGAATAGAGAAGAGAATGCAGCTCTACTGCCCTTGGCCGGTCACATGTGGAATGGCTTTGTGTGGTTTTCTTTAAGTGAACGGCTGCATTCTTGTGGCTCCAAAGTGGGCTACTCCTGTTGTTGTTGTTGTTATTTGCCGTCAAGTCGGCCCCGACTCATAGCGACCCCTCCTTGGGTTTCCAAGGCAGTATCACTACGGAAGTAGGATTGCCCAACCTTCCTTCCGAGGAGTGGCTGGTGGGTTTGAACCGCCAGCCTTCTGGTTAGCAGTCAAGTGCCTTAGCCACTATGCTACCAGAGCTCCTGGGCTACTCCTAGAAGCAACTAAATTCCAAATTTAAATTCAACTAAATTTTAAAGCTGTTACTCTTGGGCATGAGTTTAAGGTGGTCTAACAGAAACCATTAACTGTGACCAGGAAGTCATTTTACTCTTGGGATATGATGACAAAGAGAACATAGTGGATAAGGGTTAATAAATGCAATTTTAGCATTCCCCAACAACTCAGAATAAAGTTTTTTCATATTTAAAATTTCTAATTATTTTTCTACTCCTGAACTGTAAGAATCTGAAAATATTTTAGGGTCAACTTTTTAAAAAAAATCTGTATGAAGTGGTGTGTCACTATTCCATTGATTCAAGTTATTTTGGCCTAGTTATTTCAGTATGTTATTTCGGTTCATGTTATTTTCTTTGGGAGGCTTCCCTGACCCTTTCTTTACCCCTATTCTGGGTTTGGTGTCCCTCTAATGTGGTCAAGAGAAGATTTATTATACCACCTTTTATCTACTTCAACAATTTTAAGTGATTTGTCTCCGGTATTATCCCACTCTAGCCAAACATACACACAGCTCTCCAAAGTCAGAGCCTATGTCTTTGCTGTTAATTAATGTATCTTTAGCTAATGAAAAAAGTGCTCAGTACCTATCAGGCATTTGATAAATAATTACGAATGGTAATGATTTACTTACTGTCCACTACTTAGTTTCTCTCTAATAGTAGAAAAATCCATAGGCTTCTTAATAACTTTCTTATAACCAGGAACAAGTTTCAAGTTTACAGGAAGCAGAAAAGGCCATGCATCCTCATGAGTTTCCATTTCAGTCAGGATCATACTAAAGACAATAATGTTTGAAATCAGTATCTATGCTCTGGAATGATCTATTTTTATTATAGAATGATGTGTTTTTATTAAAAATTTAGCAATTTTGGAAGTTAAAACTTATTGTAAATTAATTTATTTTAAAAAGATAAAGGAGTACATTTACTTACAAATTATCCAAAAGTAACCTTTAATATGGTAAAAGATTCCTAAAAAAGTAAAATGGAATGTTATAAATATATAGTACCTGCAAAGAGCTAAGTCCTTGGAGTCATCTCTTTTAGGTTTTTTAACAGAAGTAAAACTGTCTTGTTTTGACAAGTTAAGAGAAGTGTTCTCCTCTATTTTTCTCTTTTTGAGGTCTTTGCTTCCCCTCCTGAGGGAACTACTGGTGGATGCGGAGTCTTCATCTTCAGTGTCTCCTGCCACTGGTGCTTTCCTGCCTTTCTTCAGTTCGTTAGTCTTTTTTCCTTTGACATGAAGTTTTTTGATTTTTAGAGTTTGACCACTTGCCTTTAATTAAAAATAAAAAAAAAGTATAAGCAAATAATTGTCTACAGAACTTGCATTATTTTATATTATGAAAGTCCAAAAGGACAAATAAAAAGAATACTATCTCTGACCCAGAAAGTTGATAATTCTATTATTTTCAAAAGAGTTCTATGGATTGTTCTCCCATGATATAATGCTAAACTTGAATAAGGCACAAAAAATGAAAAATCCATTTGTCTTAAGAATTTTTAAAACTTGAAGACGCTGATTTCAAGGTAATCAACCCATCTTTGGTATTATAGAACTTATCAGCAGTATTCCTTTAATGTAGTCAGTAACTGTATGAACTTAAAAAGAAGAAAAGGATTATATTTTAGAATACTATACAATTAAGGAAAAAGGTGAATATGAACGAAAGTACATAGCTTATTAACAAGAATAGGCAGGGGTATTAATAAGCTAGATCAAAACATGAAAAAGAACTCATGAACCATGAAATAGAGAAAAGTTCTTTTTACGTGAATAAATTTACCGGATTTGATTTTCTTTCCTGGGATAAAGAATAAAAAGTATCTGTTATAACAGAGTTCTATAAACTTATAATTATCAGGAGTGAAGGATGAGGGGGGAAAAGATGTCTGTTTTAAGGAAAACAATGTACAAAGAAATGTTATCAAGGAAATTGCACTTGTCATCAAGGGTGTGAATTCCAGCTATGGTTCTGTCACTAACTAGACATGGAACTTGGAACAAAAATATCTGTGAGGCTTTGCACTGCTAAAATGAAGAAGTTAAGCTGCACAACTGCTAAGATCATCTAGTTCTAAAATTACATGAAAAAAATCTCATTGTGGCCTTATGGAATTATATCCCAACATTGCAGACAGCACACTGATGCAACAATGAGATACTCCTTCTCTGACCCCCCAAATTTAGAAATAGGGAAATGAATCTTCCTTCAGAAAGTTTAATTTTGTAATAATTATAGTAGATAACAGAAGAAAGATATACAGAGTCACTGGTACTATATGGTTTTTTGCTCTGAATTCCCAGAACAGTGCTTATTTTCTTTTGAAAGATGCTTTTTCCCTTAACCAGATTATTAAGAAATCCTAGAGTGCCTATTCGTAACTTAAAATTGCATACTTGAAATGAATTTGGCTGAGAACATCACTTAAGAGTTTTTCATATCAATTTCTTTGAGTATTTCATGACTTTCTCTACCAATATCTTTTTAAAACTGCTCTTTTATATAAGCAATTAAGTTACTTGGTACTCTATTGGCAGGTTAAAAGTGTAGTTAAGGAGATACTTCAACTGACTAAAATAATAAGGCCAACCATAAATCCAACACTTCCCCCATATCAAACAATCACTACTTATCACTAACTGAAGTAATTACAATGTTTTACTAAGTCTCTTCTCCATTTATTTTGTTAATTCACTAAAATTTGATTACTTATGTTTTTCACATAACACTAAGCTCTCAGCACTCTGAAATCTTAAAAAAGATAAAGACAATGCTTAATATAATAGAGGAAAAAGTCCAATTAATGAAAGTTAAATAAAAATAGATCGAATAGCTGTGTTACTTAAAATAAAAAAGAATAAAGCTTCATGAATAGTCAAAACTTTCAGTTCCAATTTGAACTAAAATATTATTTGGGATCGTTTTCTAATGAATTACTACATTAAGAAACCATGAAATTTAAATCACAGAATCCAAAGATTTCGTGATGTTTAAGAAAAGGCAATGATGCCTTAATAGAAATTTCTTTAATAAGTGATATTTATCAGCTTACCTCATATTAGGAGTGTAGGTGCACATACTTCATTTGAAAAAAAGAAATTAATTGTGCTTTGGGTGCAAATTTACAAAACAAATTTGTTTTACATTCAACAGTTTGTACACATTTGATCTCATGCCCCAACTGCCATCTCTCACCATAACAAACTCTCCTTCCCTCCTGTCACCGTGACTACTCCCTCCCTGTGCCCTTCTTAACCATGCATTCCTGTCTGTTCAGCTTTCCCCCTATGTGGATGCTGCCCCTCTGTTGTCTCATGGCTGATAGCTCTAAGGGGTGCATCTCCCTAGAGTAGGTGGGTGCATCACCGTGGGGTAGGTGTTCTGCATGTAGGTCTTTCTACTTTTGGGCTGAGAGCTAATCCATAGTGGCACACATACTATAAAAACAAGCTTTTATATAGGTACTCTGTTACCAGTTATTTGGTTCTTGGGGAGAGATTCCCCTTCTCTCCAACTTGCTAGAGCCCAAGTTCAAAGAAGAAATTCAGTAAGTGTTGGGTAGAACCTATCAGTTTACACATCCAAGGACACATTTCTGGTATGTTTGTATATTTATATATCAGAGGTGTAACTGGTGAATCATAGGCTGTAAACAGTCCACAGAATGTGCTGTTTGGCTCAAATGATGCTTATAAAAATCCAGTCTTGACTTCTCTTGAAATATTTAAAGGTTCTGGAACATTGGGCCCACATTCCTACATGACAACTGGCTGGAACTGAGAGATGACTGTCACAGTTAGATGGGACATGACTTTCCTGCTTGCCAGTCCTCACCAGGGATCCAATGAGCTCTTTTATGCTAGGTATCTAGATCTTGTAGACACCAGAGTTTGAAATTTGTAATATGTGTGTTTGTGTGCATCTGTGAGCATATACAAATATGCACATATAAACACACATAAGCCTTTTATTCTGTGACATACACACATACACATGTACATACACCACACATAGAATACTTAATCTCAATGATCTAGATAGAAATAGCCACTTAAGAGCAAAACATATAAATATTTATAAATAACTATGAATTAAATGAACGGAGCTCTAGTGGTGCTGCAGTTACTACATTAGGCTGCTAACCAAAAGGTTGGCGATTAGAACCCAGCAGCTGCTGTGTGGGAGAAAGAAGAGGCAGTCTGCTTCTGTAAAGATTTACTGCCTTGGAAACCCTATGGGCAATTCTACTCTGTCTTACGGAGTTCTTGTGAGTCAGAATCGACTTGATGGCAGTGGGTTTTTTGGTTTATGAATTATATGGTGAGTTATTTTATAAACCTGAACTTTTTCTTAAATATAAAATCAAATGCTCAAAAAATATATATTTTTTAATTGTTGTAACAAACATTAACACCTCTGTGGCAGTTATATTTTTGTGTCAACTTGGCTAGGCCTGGTTGAGTGGCTGGGCAGCTGGTGGTAGTTATTCCGATGATGAGACTGGCAATCAGCTCCATGGTGGGATCTACCACAAGCAGCTGACTAGCTGCTTTTGGGTATGTGGTCTGCTTCCTAAGGAGAAGGCTTGGGAATGGTCTCTAGCCTATGGCACACTTGGACCCTGCATGTAGCTGTGTTGTTGCTCAGCAGCCTGCTATGCTCTTCCGACCTCAGGACTTACAATGGACTTAAGTTAATGGCCTGCCGTGTGGTTTGGTAACATTGGGGCTGTGCCTTTTTACTTGTCAACCTTGGGGCTTCTCAGCCTCAGCAGCCAGCAGCTGTCTGAGTGAAGAAATGCCTCTAGCTCCAGTGGGCCGGGAGCAGGAGGCCGAGCTGGACCCCAAGGTTGAGGGGCTTTCAACCAGCCCCTAGAATCTGGCACTTTGAACTTGGACTTAAAGCCTCCAAATTGTAAGAATAAACTCCTATTTGTTAAGGCCATCCCATTTGTTTTTGTGTAGTATGTTATGCCAGTTGAGCTTGATGTCCCCTGCGACCATGGTCCTGAGCCCCAAAGTCCAACTACTCGTACCCTCAGGGTAGCTGGCTGTGGGCAAAATAAGTCTGCTCTGTAAACTTTCACTCAAATCACAATAACAATGTGGTATATTTCCTGTCAGAGTGGCACTAGGTAACCAGAACAACTTGTTCACTATATTTAAAATACAAAAAAAGCAGAGGTGTAGAAAGCTATTTCATGCACAAGGGCTTGGAGGAACCACAGATCTGATGCCTCCTAGACCACTCTTTGAATGACAGCCAGCCAGAATTCTAATTTAAGCAGATTTACTGAAAACAAAACCTCCCATGGCCTAGCAGGTGGTCTCTCTAAGAATTAAAACACTTATTTATTAGTAATTAATAAAGTATAGAAAAACTTTTCTGTAGCTTGAAAGCAGTAACACTAAAGGATAATTTATATACAACTAGTAAAGATTCTAAGTATACACAAATACGAAACAAAAATAATGAAGTAATGAGAAATCAAAGTGATTATTAATAACTATGATATCGTAAAAGGCTCTTGAAATTCTATGAAATATATTCTAAAATACATTACAGTACTAATATAAACATTTCAAAGAACTTTACAGTCCATAAAACTTTACTTCATATACATGAACTTATTTGATCCTCATAAACCACTACTAAGATACTATCCCATTTAACAGATCGGAATACTGAAGCTAGGAAGATACTCTAATGTTTACAGATCAGGGAAATGAGAAAATAGAGCAAAGACTGAGATGAAGCAAAGAAAATTTTAGTGGTTATGGTATTCTATCCCAGAAGTCAAGTGAAGACAGTGTTTCAAGGAGGAGGAAGTGGTCAACTCTCACCTAATGGATCTGATAGGTCAAATAAGGCCTGAGAACTGATCAATCACTGGCTTGAATAATGTGGATGTCACTAGTTAACAAGATAGTAATTTCAGAGAAGTTGTAGAGGTAAAAATCTGGAATGAGTTCAAAAGCAAATGGGAGCAGGGAAGGGAACACTGCTAGATAGGCAGAGACAAGTAATGATTTAGGTGAAGGAAAGGGCAATGTGCCATACGTGAGTAATCAACATGGTGGCACTGAGGAAGAGGAAGACATAGAGAGGAACATGGGAGGTACAGACAACGAAGATCAACCCTTTCACATGTACAGTACTGCACTGTCAGTGATGGCAAGCATTCATCTACAGGTGGATAGATGGGTGGACAGGCTGAACAATCAAGTATGTCTAGGCAGGGGGTAGTATGCCCATGACCATGCATAGGGTTAGCAGACAATGTTTCTACATGCATATTTGTATGTGCTGTAAGAATGTCCAGGTGTATAGTAGAGCTGACAAGGGGCAAAGTTGTGCTGGCTTCTTGCCCACAGCCAGCTACCCTGAGGTGTGAGTAGTTGGACTTGTGTGCTCAGGACCATGGTCACAGGGGACATCACACTCAATTGGCATAACATACTACACAAAAACATTGTTCTACATCCTACTTTGATGAGTAGTGACTGGGATCTTAAAAGCTTGCAAGCAGCCATCTAGATGCAACAATGGGTCTCTCCTCATCCAGACCAAACAAGAATGAAGAAAACCATAGACACATGGAAACAATTAGTGCAAGGGACTGGCAGACCATGTGATCCTTAGCCTATATGACCAAGAGACCAGAAGAACTATATATATGGTGCCTGGCTATCAGTCGACCACTCGGAGGGGAACTACTGGGTGGGAGAACAATGTGGAACAAAACTCAAAATCATAAAAAAATAAAAGACCAATTTTTCTGGTCTAATACAGCCTGGTGAGACCTCTGAGACTATGGCCCCTAGCCACCCTTCAGGTCTGGAACTGAACTCACTCTTGTGGCTTCCAGTCAAATAACAGAAGGCATATGGGATGAACAATTACATCAGGTAGATGCACTCCTTGGAGTGATGATCAATCATGAGAGAACAGAAGGGCAGTGTTTGCACAGGGAGAC